AGACACTGTCTGGGAGACATGTGGACACAGACATTTGGGGACACTGGGAGACATGGGAACACTGGGAGACATAAGGACACAGACACTGGGAGACTAGGGGACACTGGAAGACTATGGGACACTGGGAGCCATGGGGACACTGATACACTAGGGACACTGGCTGGGAGACACAGGGACAATGGGAGACATGGAGACACTGTGTCTCTAGTGTCTCCATGTCCCAATGTTTCTCCCTATGTCTCACAGCATCCCCATGTGTCTCAGCGTCCCTATGTCTCAGAGTGTCCCCTAGTGTCTCAGTGTCCCCATGTTTCCTAGTGTTCCCAAGTGTCTCAGAGTCCCCACTTCTCCCAGTGTCCCCTAGTGTCTCAGTGTCCCCATGTCTCGTTCCTGCCTTTCCCCCCATACTTCACATACCTGAGCTGAAGTCTGTCTCTGCAGGCTGGGAGCTGCTGTCTGGACTCTGCTGTGTAGCTGCTTCCCCGGGGCTCAGTGAGTAGAGAGAGGCAGGGAGATGCCTCTCTTCATTCACAGTGACCCCTACTGGCCGGTGCTGGTATTGCAAAGTAATCTCAGTTTATACTGAGAAAAATATTTGCATTTGTATTGCCGGTATTACTGCAATACCATCACGGCCAGGCAGCCTCAAATACCGGCTGTGCCTTAAAATACCAGTCAGGTGGCAAACCTAACAGTAGTGTGTAAAAAAAAAAAAAAACTGTAAAAAAAAAAATATTTTTTTAAATGGGCCTATTCCATGGGCCTGGGCCTGGGCCTGGGCCTGGAGCTGCAGCTCCATCAGCCCCCTATGTTAATCCGGCCCTGCCTACCATCCCAAAAAAGCTTTTACGTTTATGATAAAATTTTATCGCATATAAACCTATGGGAGTAGCTACCCGCCTGCCATTAAGGTTCCATATACAGGAAAGAAGTTTCTATAACTACTTTGTAACAACACTTTTATCTGAAAATAATTTAGTACCCCTATTACAAAATCCATGGACCCTGTTGCAAAACTTAAGGAGGAGGTGGAGCACTTGGCCCAGGCTCTGCACGAGGAGTGGTGCTGCTGCCAGAGCCGGATACCCATAATCTTCGGCTCAGATTGGGACTCTAACTGGCAGGGAAATCAAAACACCTCTCTGCCTTCCGTGGTGCAGCCACACTCCCTCATGGTCAGAGTGCAGGCACCGGTTTTCATCATCACAGAGCTTCCGACCAGGAGGATTGCAGCAGAACCACTAGATCTTCTACATGGGGGACTACTGCTCCACACACTTGAGAGGTGGACACCTAAACTGGCTATGGAATTCGATTCTTTACAAAGAGTCTCATTCTTAAACTGACTAACTATGCACTGCCTTAGTTTTTCACGGAAGGAGGACACTCACCTCTTTATCTGTTTCGTAAAGACTGTTACTTCTCTTCTATGGCTGTGTAATAAAATTCTTCTTATTTGTGTTTTTCCAGGTTGATTGGAATCTTTTAGGTATTATGTATATTTCTTGGGTAAAAGGCTCGCCGTGTTAGTATACGTCTATATTAACCAAAAATACTAATACACAATCTGACTTAAGGTATCTTCAGGTTTATTCTTACAGTTACTGATACATAATAAAACATTAAAGGCTATTACAGGATAATGGATGTTCAACAGCAGATGGTAATTGCTGGACTCCTGGAGGGAGAGTTAGACTCTACATAGTTAGACAGCTGGTTGAGAAGAACAACCTTGTGATCCTTTGAACACTATTCTATAGAGATATGACCATAATAATGTCAGAGTATAACCCTGGCCATATAAGGACAAGATTCGCAATTACCACATTCCAGAGTTCTCATGGTACAGCATAGCAAAATACTATCTGTTCTTTTTAACCCATTAGACATCCATGCCTACTATGAATATAAATAGGAACATAGTAATATTCTACAGCCTGTTTTATATTGTCATGCAAATTTCATAAACAAAGATTTGAAGAAAAAGAAGTACAGTGGGTGAGCAGTCCCCATGGCACTACTATCTAGCTTTCGCCCTAGTAAATATATATGGACATTGGAAGGTTCCCCTTAAAGCAAGGTTAACCAAATACCAGATCCTCTTTCAGTAGTAACACTCCTCCCCTTAACCCCTATCTCTACCATAATTTATAAACTAAATAGTAATCCTTATCCTTGAGTAAATGAGCCTGCTGGATGTTCAGATGAATGCTGCCCTTATTCATATCTATGTATATATTGTAATTGGCTAAATCGTGTATGCATGAATCTGGGACATGGGATCATACCTTTAGAATCATGCATACATGAGTGCCGTTGTGAAGAGACTAAGCATTAAAGCCCATTAATAAACATGGTGTATGTAAGTTTTAATAAATAAAACTGAAATGGGACAACTAGGATTTGGATTGGCTGACACGACTTGATAGAGATCATTGCAAGCAGCTGACGAAAACAAATTCTAAAGTTAATATATATTTTTTCATTATTTTTGTTCATATTTGTTGGGAGCTATGTATGAAATGTGTTTACAAATGGTGTCAACAGTAGCCTGGACTCGAGCGTCCCTTTTAAATATGCAGAATATGAGGTTATATTTCTAAAAATATATAATACTTTGTTCAGTGCAAATGTTTTTCACCATGAAGAATTAGTTCAAGTATCGAAATATGATTTTTATTTATTTTTTATATTATGTCACTTGGCGGCACTGCGGGAGACTTAGCGATGAACATTAAATCGATGCGCAAGGTCTTGGGTTTCTTGTGAGGCAGGAGAGTAAGCATAAATTATTATTTGATATATTGAGGAAGTTCCCCTGTAGTAACGTCCTCAGGAATATTTCTAATCTTGAGAGTTCACCATATGGCAGCATCCTCCAAGGTGTCCATTCTTAGTGAAAATGGTCTGTTGTTGCTTGTGCAAGGAGGCCAGGGTTGAGGCCTGCAGGGCCTGTTGCAGCCAAATGTTAGAGGTATCCTCCTCTGTGGCTTTTATGTGACCCTTAAAGGTAAGTAAATTCTCCTTAATTACTGCCAAATCCAAAGAAAATAGTTGTGTGATGTTTGCCAATAAACCCTGGATATCTCCCTTTGTGGCTGAAGCACCTCTGATGTCATCTTTTAAGGCTGAAAATCCAATCAGAGGTGGAAACTCATCCAGGGTATCTAAAGTGAGATTATCCACAGATGTCATCTTGGGCCTACAAGCCTGGTATAGCATGTTGCCGATATCACGTGCACCTCCATGAGCTGAGGGCTTTAACTTATTTTGTTTGCCCATTATGTCCTTAAGGACTTAATGTGTAATTATCGAAGTGATAATAAAAATACCCTCGATAAAATCAAAATAATCGTTACTCTAATCTGCAGAATTTAGCCATCGCTCTGCTCCACCTTCAAAATATGCATTTTTAGGGTGAAAATAAAGTCACCTCTGTTTATTGGCTTAGTGGGTTTATTCCACTCCTTGAGTGCAACAATAGTGCTGGTTGTTCACTGTCTTCATTAGGTGATATTAAAATAATTCAACTTTAAACATTTTTATTGCTTTTCTTCAAAACACAGGAACGCATAGATTCTATAAAATAATCATCTCTAGTTGCTTTTAAACAATGTGTGTAATATAGATTATTGGAATAATGAAACTAGGAAGGTATTACCTCCCCAGAAGGAAGCAGATAACACAGTGTGTGTGTTGGGGAGATTATAAATAGCATTCTGCTGCTAGGTTCTTTAAAATACGAACGTTTTTTCATATTGTTCCAAAGAGAAAAAGGATGATGCATAATTAGATGAAATTCAGTATTTGCATTTTGCAGCCTGTGTAATTTACTGTCCTCATTAGTACCATTCCTCAGGCATGCAGACAATAAACGATTTAAAGTTCTGCCTAATAAGCTGCACACATTGGGGAATCTACAATTGGATTGCGAGTGTCAAGATAAGTCCAACAGCACTAGATCCATCAGTCTTGCAGAGGATCATTCACAGATTGATATATGTGTGTGTATCTCTATATATTTTTGATACATAACACTTATTATAATAAAATAATATAGATCAAGATAAACTGGAGACATTTATAACCACGAGGCTGTGAAAACCCAATGCTGGGGCCCTTTGCATTAATAAAAAAGGCTGCAGCCTTCTGGCTACATGGAAATATCTTTCATTTGTGACCATTTTCTTTTATTATTACAAAGTCGCATCCCATTTTGGAGAGTTGGGTGTGTAAATATTTTAATGATATGTTTTGTTTTTTTAATTCAAAGAACAAAACACAAGGATGGTTATAGGTTGATTAAGGTATCTTTCAAGTATATTTCACAGGTTAATTGTGTTCCTAGTTAAAGGTTTGAAACCTATATTTAAGATGACAGTAAAAGGGTTACTCCAACCAAAAAAACAGCGATTTAAGAAAACACAACTCTGTGTACATCACTCAAGGAGAGCGGGTTGAACGGAAAACAAAGCGGAGGGTAACAAAGAGGAGGGAGTTGAGCCGTCATTGGCTGTCTGTTGCCAGCATGCTGTGAATACGGAAGACTGACGACAACTATGCACAACCTTGACATTAGAGACAGGGATTAGTTCCGCCAATAATTACATTCCTTTCTGCAAAGAGGAGATTTGACAACCAGCTTTATTTTATAGAGCTCCACATACATACAGGTGATACTCAAAAAATTAGAATATCGTGCAAAAGTTCATTTATTTCAGTAATGCAACGTAAAAGGGGAAACTAAGATATGAGATAGACGCATTACATGCAAAGCAAGATAGTTCAAGCCATGATTTGTCATAAGTGCTATGATTATGTCTTACAGCTCATGAAAAGCCCAAATCCACAATCTCAGTAAATTAGAATATTGTGAAAAGGTGCAATATTCTAGGCTCACAGTGTCCCACTCTAATCAGCTAAGTAAGCCATAACACCTGCAAAGGGTTTCTGAGCCTTTAAATGGTCTCTCAGTCTGGTTCAGTAGGAATCACAATCATGGGGAAGACTGCTGACCTGACAGTTGTGCAGAAAACCATCATTGACACCCTCCATAAGGAGGGAAAGTCTCAAAAGGTAATTGTGAAGGAAGTTGGATGTTCCCAAAGTGCTGTATCAAAGCACATTAATAGAAAGTTATGTGGAAGAAAAAGGTGCACAAGCAGCAGGGATGACCGCAGCCTGGAGAGGATTGTCAGGAAAAGGCCACTCAAAAGTCTTGGGGACTTTCTCAAGGAGTGGAGTCAGTGCATCCAGAGCCACCACACACAGACGGATCCTGGACATGGGCTTCAGATGTCGTATTCCTCTTGTCAAGCCGCTCCGGAACAACAAACAACGTCAGAAGCATCTTACCTGGGATAAAGAAAAACAGACCTGGTCTGTTGCTCAGTGGTCCAAAGTCCTCTTTTCTGATGAGAGCAACTTTTGCATCTCATTTGGAAACCAAGGACCCAGAGTCTGGAGGAAGAATGGAGAGGCACACACTGCAAGATGCTTGAAGTCCAGGGTCAATGCAGGAGATTGTGGAGCACTTCATGCTTCATTCCGCAGACTAGCTTTATGGGGATGCTGACTTCATTTTCCAGCAGGACTTGGCAACTGCCCACACTGCCAAAAGCACCAAAGCCTGGTTCAATGACCGTGGGATTACGGTGCTTGATTGGCCAGCAAACTCGCCTGACCTGAACCCCACAGAGAATCTATGGGGCATTGCCAAGAGAAAGATGAGAAACATGAGACCGAACAATGCAGAAGAGCTGAAGGCCGCTATTGAAGCATCCTGGTCTTCCATGACACCTCAGCAGTGCCACAGGCTGATAGCTTCCATGTCACGCCACATTGAGTCAGTAATTGCTGCAAAAGGGGCCCAAACCAAGTACTGAGTCCACATGCATGCTTATACTTTTCAGGTCCGATATTGTTCTATGTGCACTCCTTGTTTTATTGATTACATGTAATATTCTAATTTACTGAGATTGTGGATTTGGGGTTTTCATGAGCTGTAAGCCATAATCATCGCACTTATGACAAATCACGGCTTGAACTATCTTGCTTTGCATGTAATGCGTCTATCTCATATATTAGTTTCCCCTTTTATGTTGCATTACTGAAATAAATCAACTTTTGCACAATATTCTAATTTTTCGAGTATCACCTGTAGAGAAATCAGAGAATATAAAATCTGCCACCAGTCTGGAGTTTCAGAAAACATCTGGATGCATCTACCTTCAATCAAAAACCAACAGGATTCATTGTAATTTTTTTAATTGTACTATGTGTATGCATATATCAACCACTTTGCATAAAGCTTTCTGAGATAGAAACACAATTAAGCACTATAGCTGCTAACCAGGGATTTACCAACTCTTCCTTTACCTTAGTTTCTAAACAAGTCAGATTACTCCTGTGTTGCACACATATACAACATTCACCCTTGTAAAGTCCTCACTACATTCTAGAACCATGTTTGGAGCTGTAGACCATAGATGCTCGAGTACGAGATATTTTTCACATTCAGCACTTATGAGGTTCTGTCTTAAAACACATACAGCTATATTCTCTTCTCGTGCGCAAATAAGAATTCTGACATTGTTTTCCTACTGTGCTTTGATTGCATAGGGAAACATTAACATAATCCATAGCTTTTATGGTGAAGTACATGTAATAGAGTTAGCATGCCAGCGAGACGCAAGTGTTTCAGTTATAATTACAGCCTGTAAAATGTGTGCTGCCATTGATTATTAAAAACCAGCTCTATACATATTTAAAAACGTACTTAAAATAAGTTGCCAAATCGTATTACACAGAAAATGCGAGAACGCTAATACACAAGATATCTTGAACTGAAATGCAGAAAGAAAAATATAAATGTACTGAATTAAAGGAAAACTATAAGATAAATATATTTATTTTTGATCGTAGTGTGTTCTTGTTCCTGCTTTGATTGTGTGCAGTTTTCACTCACTGGTAATTCAGCTGACGTACACACTGCTGGGTATCCATTTCTACGGGATATCCACGTAGAAAAGCACTGGTGATCTCAGGTGCATACCTGGCAATCACCGCACTCCCTCTATCAGATACTTCTCATGGAGCTGCACTGGATATAATGCTTCTCTATGAGAACCATTCACAGAGTGTGATGATGCCAGATTTTAAGACCTTCAATCTACAACGAGGAAGTGCCTCTAGTGGCTCTCTGTGTCACAGCCACTGAAAGTTTGGTATAGGAATAATGTGAATAATGACATTTCTCTGCAATGTTTTAGATTACCTGACAAAAGGAAGAGATGAGAAAGTTGTTTTGGTGCTTGTTCCTGCCCCCTCCCCCCCAATTAAGGTATATAACTACCAAAGCAATGTTTACAATGTATGCAAATTTTAAGCCAAATTATCCAACTTGGAAATATTATTCCATTTCCACTGCTATATTGGCCATAAAACTGTAATGTCCTAATTCTCTTATTTTAAAGTAGAAGTGGAGTTTGCAGTTGGGCTTGTCAGGCGGCTTGTCCATCCTTTGTTAATCCATTACATAGATCATATGCAAACTCAATCAAGCCAAAGATGCTGACTCTTAAAGTTCATGTATGTTTTTTCTTTTTTTTTGCAAATATCTGCACTTTCCATCATTAGCCTTAAGGCCTGCCCTTTCCACGAAGTAGTTTGGCCAATCAGGAGTTTGACACTCCAATGACGCTGCTAGAGGAGGAGTTACACCTCCAGCAGGAGAGGGGTTAAACTTCAGCGTGCAGACCATGACAACTTCAAATCACTGAAGGAGGCATGGTGCTTGGAGTAACCCTTTAATATGAGAGGAAGTATCATGGAGTCTCTTTGAGAAAGTGTGCCACCTGGTTAATGTTTACTGAAGTTAATAAAAAAATAAAAAATAAAAAAAAACTCATCCCTACCCCTTCATGCTTCTGAGTTTAGAAGGGAAGACCATGGAGACTGTTGGTGTTCAAACACTGTATGACCCAAGATATGGATATGGCCGAAGGATCCTGTCATATACTAAAGGTAGGAATGCGTTTTTCTTTTCCTTTTCTATTTTTTTTTTTACATTTCATTAAAACAAATTATTTTAAAACTTAATAGAAAATATTCTTATATTAAAAAATAGTTTTTGACAGCTGTCATTTAGTGCTGCCAAGAAGCCTTTTTTTAAACACAAAGGGGATATTTATCAAAGTGATGGCTAATTCTGTCATTATTATGGGCATATTTATTAAAATAGAGAACGAAACAGCACACTTTCCTGTCAGAAAAAGATTTGGTAAATCCTCTGGAAATCTGTATATAAACTAATTGATGGTTAGGGTGCAATAGAAACAACAGATAAAAACACATATAACAGATTTTAAAAATTGCTCTAGAAATTTGCAAGAATATTAAAGAGAAAAGAGTCAGCTACACTTTGAGAAATCTCCCCCCGAGTTTATAAAATGTGATATATTATATCAGATTGGTTTAAAAACAAAACAAAAAACAAGTCCAAGTATGAGATTTTGAGGATAGCCAATTTAAAGGGTTGCTCCAACCACCATGACTACTTCAGCAATTTGAAGTGGTGATGGTGGTAGGAGTCAGTATGTTCAGGTTGAAACACTGCATATACACTGCATATTATTTGTAATTGTGTAATGGGGGCTAGATACACCCGCAGCACGAGTGGCTTAGGCAGCCTGGAACTCTACTTTATGTTAATTCTGTACATATTTTACCTCTCAGCTCGCATAGTATGGTGCCAACGTATGTAAAAATCTTCTCACTGCCAACATATAGCTCCGCCCTTCCTGCCTACCACCAGCCTCCCTCCTTTCAAGAATTGGGAGAAATGCAGTTTCTAGAAAACCACAAAGCTTTAAATTGCACGGTTAAAAGGACAGGACCACTGCACCCAGTCCACTTCATTGAGATAAAGTTGTCTGGGGGAATTTAGTGTCCCTTTAAAGGAGACAAAATCTTGTTGCTTGCAAGTTGAAACAATGTGGATGAGTGCACCCAAAAATATATTGTCACCATTAGAAATGTATGTATTCCCACTTCCTACATCTTTCTGTATTCACTACTTTACTGATCAGGTGGGCTGTCAGAATCCTTTCACACACAGTTTCCTTAAAGGGAAACTCTAGGTTCATAAATTCATATAGCGTCATGGGGTGTCTTCAGCTAGCCTGGAACAAGAATTTTAGGATGGCGAATCTCAATACTGTGAAAATATTCATGCCATGGTGCCAATCATTGTCTAAGAGCGGTCAGCTGATACTCTCAGGCAATGAATGGGGTCTGCACCTGCTTTCTGACTTCCGCAGTTCTGCAAAAGCCAAAAGCATGTCACTGGAGCCGCAAAGAGGCTCAGAGCTCGGCAGGGGCCCAGGTTAGAGGGCAAACCGTTGCTGAGCAGTTTGCCCCACTATGTCACTCCATGTTCACTTTGATCCAGTCGACTGTAGTGGTAATGACGCTTGAAGTAATCCTTTAAGGCATAGAAAATAAATAAACAAATGTGTCTTTCCACCCCCACTTTCCAAAAAAAATAAAATACTGTTTTCACCTGCTGGTATCTTCCCTTACATTGGCTGCTAAACTGGTTTTGCAGCAAATTCTCCTTTTCTACCCACCATAAACTTTTCTTGTATGTGTTGGGCAGTGTCCCTTCAAATGCTTCTCATTGAGACATATTTGGACACATTGAATATGTACAGCAATCCATGTGATCTAAGAGAGAGTTATTGCAGCCAGGTATTAGGCTGTGTGTGCATGTACCCCATGCACAAAGCTCAGGTAGCCTTTACATGCGGGTGTGCTCCCGCAAACACTCCTACAACTTGGAAAGTCTATGTGTTCGGGTGTTCGGTGTTAGCATACAGAATGCAAAACGTGTATAAAGTGGACACTTCTTCTGCTTCTGACTGGGTGATTGACAGGAGCTGGAAGTGAAGCTGCACCCTAGATGAAGAGGTTACGGCGCTTAAAGTAAACCCTTCAATTTATGAATTATTATTACACTGACCTACCTCATTTTTGTTCATTGTTCTTTCCACATCCTCGTAACTTATTTCCACATCCTCGTAAGATTCTTCCCGTTACGTAACTCCATGTCCTCATAGAGTCAAACATCTCTCTCAAAATGCGCTATAATCTAGTTTTCCAGCATTCTCCCATTGTCCTACCCACAGTATGAAAAATCAAACATTGGT